CCCTTCAGCTGCGCACCTAAGAGCTTCCTTCGCTATACACGTAGGCCAGCTCGAGGTAGACCTTCCGGGGGAAACCTTCAAAGTCTTTCATATCCGAGGTGTCAATACTTCCTCGTAATCCAAAGGAATTCGCTGCTCTTCATCATTTTACAATGATGAAGAGCTTACTCTATAGTGTATCGCTACTTGTAGTGTTCCCGGACAACTTTTTTTCTTTTGGTGCCGGAATTGGCCTCATATCAAGCTCTAGTAGACGAATTTTCGTTCATATATATAGCAATTATTTCCAAAAGCACATGTTTGTCAACATGTCTTTGTTTGGACATTTTCAGTTGTTTATCATTTATCATTATCGTCAAACAGTTTCACTGTTTATCGATTGAAAATCAGCGATGTGTCTCCAGCCGTTGGACACAAGGTTTTAGCATTGCCGTAAGCTACATACATGCATCACTAATCTCTCGTTTCTTTAGAAATGCCTGGAGATGCGATGACAGACCGCCCATACTCTGCAGCCTTGTTTGGAAACAGCCGAGTTCATGTCACACAGAGTGAATGAGTTTTAACGCTGTTAGCCATCAGTTCGAACGCTGCAAGGTCACAAACTAGTGGGTTGCAATCATGGTGGCTGGAAATGATGAAGAACGGTATGGAGTAGTATCTGTGGAAATATGGGTGCAATGGATGCCATGCTTAATACACGAGCAACACCTGTGAGCGTGAAGCGCTAAAACTGGGGGCCAAGCTATGAATTCTCCACTCGACGAAGATTTCGTCATCATGCGTCTCTGTAAAGACCACGTCCTACTAGAGGAAGAAACAAACTTATATCTCACACATGTTCGATGGGATCAATAATACTTCACCAGTAGTACGGTACGAATTATATCAATAACTTATAAACATGTTCAAACCACGCCAAAATCCTTTGTTTGCAACTTGATATTGTTCATATTCGTAAAATCCTCCAAAGCTCCGTGGTCCATCTCCTCAAGGGCAACAAGCATAAGAAAGGCATAGGGGGTTGCCTGTTCTCACTAATGCATTTGTCTTTCTTCCATAAGTACCTCGTTTCTTTCACTCGTAGTTCATTTCCTCTGAGCGTCGAAAGAGCCGCGTGCCTATTTGTGTGAGTGTAGCCACTTCAGTACTCAGATCTCACAGCTTGTTTATGAGTGGTCTTTTGCAGGGCAGGGAACGTGCCATGTTGCAGATTTTGCGCGCTTGTGAGTGAATAGCGTGTGAACATGCTGGTTGGTGTCAGGCCAGCAGCAGCAGCACCTCCGCATGTGCTGAGGTTGGAAATCGAGAGGCAATCCATCAATCCATCGCGACCTGGTGCCCTTGAGATCCGCAGACTCTGAAACTGCGCTAATTAATTAACAACAGATGCACCGGATCTCGTTGACGCATCTTATCTCCTTAGAAAGGGGGTCCTGCTCTATGAGCAGAATAAGGAAGCTCCATATTGTACCGAGTCTAAAGCCGGTGGCCCTATTACTATAACCTATTCAGCACCAATTTTTCAATCTCCATGTTCCGCTTCGTCTTATTTTCAACGCCTTTATAATTTACAATTCCGCAAATGATCAAAGATGAGAAATATGTCTATTGAATTTTTCTTCTGCTGTGGTCATTGGACTCATGTTGGCTCAGATTGTGACCTTGGATTGACATACTTCCTACGTTTGAATTTCCTATCCTATACTGTTTCAAATTCTTTCAGATCAAGGAGATATCTGTACCATCAATCTTTGTTAAAGTGGGGAATGGATCCATCTACTTTATTTTGTCTTCAGTCTTAAGATTAAACCAGATATTTTTGGAACATATTGCTTTTAAATGTGTGGAAGTTTTCTATCTAATAGGTATACAAAAGTTGAGTACCATTGAGCGTGACTGAGTACAGTCTTGTTAGCCGATTTATTTAAGTTTGTCTTCTGCCTTAGAGAGGAAATCACTCTTGCTAACCGAATGAATATTATGAATTATATTATCACCAAATCCTTCAAGTTCTCATATCATGCTTTTTTTTCCACTTTGCTGATCGAGAATTGGAATAATAAGTCACACTTGCTTATGCAAGGAGAGCAGAAGTCTTCCAGGTCAAAGAAAGGAATTTGTCCAGTTGAAGAATGGAGGATGCGTGTGTGGCTTATGGTATATGATGGCCGACAACATGCACTCGAAACTCCAATTTATGCAATCTTTATTAAAGTTTTATGGATGTGACGGCCTTCAAGTATATGTGTTATTCTTTCACATGATTTTGTTTGAATGTCATTTGATCATATATTTTTTCCGAGTGATTTGTGGAACCTAAACCCTATTTTTGTATAGTGATGTATGAATGAACATGACAATGTGTGCAATATGTTATCATCATGCCGAGCTTTAGTGGAGTATTGTTATCTATGTGAACAAATCACTAGATACTTCGTATATACAATCACAAAAGTTGGCATATGAAGTCCTACATCATGCTTCAAATGAAGACTAATTTTTTTTTTTTCACTTTCATTATTTTGTCATACATTTTCATACAAAGCATCTTTTTTGCTAACATCTAGAGGAAATCATCTATGTGCTTGAAGTGTTTGGAAGGAACAACATAGATTGTATCTTAATTTCAAATTTGAGTTATAATTTCATCGATATATCATATCGATGTATTTGTTCATAGAGCAAAATGTTGAGCTTGTAAAACATGTTACATTGCATGAAATGACATACTTGATGTGATAACTTTCAGAAATATAGTTAGAATTATCAAGTAAATCAATAGATATTATTATCAGATTTTTATCTTCATAATCTTGCATGATCTCCTACATTTGGGCATTGGTAGAATATAATTTTCATGTATACAACATTTATAGATGTATTGTAACATTACATATGAATTTTTATCAAAATTAAATATAGATTTCATTATCATATGAGCATACATTCTACAATATTGAACTATGCATATAAGTGTTATCACAAATTATAAATCTTGGAGTTACTATATACTAAAGACACACGCATGTTGATTTAATCTTGATATTAGAGAATCAATTTTATCACAGTGTGGCAAAAAAGATTTAGTGAAAAAATTAACCATTTTCAATTGTTTGAATTAAATTAGAACATAAAGTTTTTTAAAGATTAACAATTTTATTAAATAAACTAGTTAAGACTTGTACTAAAATTTTCTCTTAACAAAATTGTGTAGCAATTAATTGTACTAAATTTATGTCGGTCTCCTCCACTAACCTTCTATCATCGAGAAAAATGTAGCGATCAGTGGGTTCTGTATGATTTAATTTCATTGACAGAGACGAGCATCCTTGCTTACAGACTTGAGACTGTTAACTCATCCCTGAAAGAGAAGAAGAATCGACATCATTCACAAGCTTCGGTTCGCTGATCCAGCTGCTCTTCTAAGAAATTGAACATCCTGTTTGACAGCTTGCGAGGCAGTGGCCACATGGTAAATATTTATCCGCAAGTGAAGATCTCTTCAGCCTACCTTGATGAACGCGCACTCTTACAATTTCACGAGAGGGAGTGTCACAGCTGCTGAACGAGGAGGAAGAGAAGCAAGAATACATCAATCAATCATTCAATCGGGTCGCACTCTGTTCCGGAGAAGCTGGATCAGAAACATCGTCTTGCTGCTGTAGCAGGTTGACTGTCCCGCCAATTTCAAATAATATTCGAGTATAAGGAAGCAAAGTCTCACAAACTCTACACCATCCTCAACCTAACTGGTTCTCCAATCACAGGACCAACATTTGACAAAGGACGTCCGAGCGGCAGGGTTGATCTCTTCAAGATCCTGCTGCTGCAATCCCCGACTGGTGTTTCGACGCCATAGTAGTAAAGTACACAACTGCGCATCTTGAACAATGCACGATCTCGGATCATGCAGACACCCGAGATCTGGTTTGGCAAACTAATTCTACACCGCTAAGTCTAAGCTGTGGGTCTCGCTCAACTTGATTAACGTTGATGCCCAGGAATTGAAATGCAATTTTCTGGACTATATTCAAAGATGTATAATTTTCTCTGGTGTTACCGGATCTAATCAATTAGTGATATACTTCTCCGTTCAATTTATTGCAATGACCATGATTGTTCTCGTTTTTGATTTCGGAAGACTATTTACAACTACGTAAACAAATGTTGTTTACGCAGTTGTAAATAGAGAAAGCCTCGTCCACCTAACGCCCATGATTGTTTCAATCAAACCATACGTTATTAACATTCTGCGAGATGAATGCAGAATGAATATCCTAGTCAAGGACTTGCAAAGAATCACATTCCCCATGATATTCAGCAAACGAGGTAATACATCCTTTGAAAATTTATGCTTCACGTAAAGAGTCTCTTTAACTCAACGTCCACACGCAGTCCAATTGCAAAAGCATTCGTGATTCGAAACTACGACATTTATACACGTGACAGTTCTGAGCGTGCTGGCGACTTAATATGCACTGAGAACCCCGCTATGAAAAAGTATGTTACCGGTAAGATGCATTCGAACTGGAGTTCTGACTCCTAAGAAATCTTGTGAAATCTTCTGATCATAGAAAGAAGCGCCAGAAGAAGATTCACATGAGCTATGAATTTCTCAGCTTCACAGATCGGATATTGTGCATGAATTCTAGTAAAAGCATTTTCTTTAGACTATATTGCTCTCTTGTTTAAACACGGATACTACTTGAAAATGATAACACATCTTAAATTTTAATTCCGGTCCATCTTTCATTGGTTGGACCTTCATCGTGGGACAAAAGAATCAGTCAGTCAGGGATATGTCTGGAAGTTCAACGTGACCACCCTCACGTGTCAAGGGAAGGATTTTCATCACAGTGAGACTTGCAACGAGACAATATGAACACTCTACCCTCAAAAATTCATCTGGATAGTTTAGCCGAACACTGATCTTCTTCAGAAACATAACTGTGCGATTGACATGATGGCAAAGATTATAAAAGACTTCTTCTTGTGAAAACTGCAAGGAAGAATTTGCAGAGTTGTATATTGCATGATGGTCTAAACATATGCTTGTCAATTGCATAGTGACATTCTAACCTCTTCAAAATCCTAACATGTCAAAATTCCACAACGAAGGCCTTTATTCATGCACTTCTCGCACACCCATGCATGCCCACCTTTATCTAAACTGACATATTTCACCTGATACAACTTGAAGATTTCGGAATAACGATTTTGAAGCTGAGGCGCAAGAGTTTGCTGAATCCTCAACCATGCTTCTTGCAGCTCCTTGTTTTCCCCGCCTTTGAGAAATGCCCTATGATCATCATCACTAATACCGTCTAGTTGAACAATATCAGATTTTAAATCTCCCCAGTCCGGAATCGCCCCGCCCAAACTGACTGTCTTATCCAGTCCAGCCTTGAGAGCATAATACATGACTTTGTATGAGATTTCGATAGTTTTTCGAATCCACGAGCTATTCCCCTGATCCAAGCGTATCTTCAAACCTTCTTGATCTTTGACCGTGTGAAACCCAGTCACTGACTCACACATCAATTGTAAGCGGACGGTTGTCCCATTATGCAGAAGCGCACTCATTCTATAGAAGAGACCAACATCGTTTGTAACGTAAGGTCGCTTGGGCATTTTGGCCTGCTGAAGCGAATCAGAATACTGAATTATCCTGTCCACTTTAGACACAAATGCACTCAGCGTTGACTGCAGTTCTTGGTGCAAAGAGAGTATTTGTCCCATCTTCATCTCCATTCTCTGCAGAATGCTCTGCACTAATCTCAACCTCTCGTCCAAACCATCAAACTTTTGTACAAGCTCTTCTTTTAGCTGGTCCATCTTGAACAAAAAAAGTTGGGTCTCCACACTTGAATTCTCCACACTTGTGCTGGCACGACTCAAGCACCTGGATGTGAGTGATTTGAGGTCTTTCATTGGCGGGAAATTTGAGTCGCTAACCATGTTTTCAGCTTCAGGATAACACTGAGACAAATCATTGTCCACGCTACTTAGACCTTCGTGCAATGACTTCAATTCTTCAATTTGTTTCCGTCGAATCTCGTTCACAATTGCTTCCACATCGCTCTCCCACAACAAATCTCTTGCTCGTTCGGATATTCCGCCAGTGTGCCCTTCAATCTGGGGCCAACAGTGCTCATAGTTGAACAACTCTTCCTTCTTCTCCATCAAGTGCAACCTTTCCATTGACGTTTCCTCAAGTTTGTTTTTGATGCTACAAATGAAGTCCGATTTCAGCTTCTCGATCAGAATGGCTCCTCTGAGATGACTCGGAATCCGCTTCTCCACGCAAAATGTTTGAATCACACCTAGCACTAACGCCACCCCGGGACAGCCTTTTGATGATGCGCAAAACAATATCAATTCATGGACGATATGCCTCATCACATATTTAGTAGCCTCCTCCCTTGACTTATGCCTTGAGCATAACATCAAAACATCTACGTATTTGTGAGACTTTTCACTGTGAACGTGCTCGATATATATTTGATGCCCTTCATCAAAAAGTCGTAGATAATGTCGAGAGCAGGTAATATTCTCCTCGAGAACATGCATATCGGATTTCAACTTGCGTCTCATGAACATCTACAATCATAGAAAATTTGGTAAATCTCGAGTGGGACATTCAAATTATTCATTGCATTTAATGGAAAGGAAACAATTGCTTCATCATACGCAAATTACAAACAGAACTTGACGCATATAACAATTTATCTGTGTGTGTGAAAGCATGATTCAACCTCACCTGGAAGCGTGGAAAAAATGCAGCCGTCAATGACATTGTTCTCCCATCTTGGCACTGAATCCGAATGCCAACAAACTGTGAATTCTCTCTTGTATTTTCCCAACACATCAACTTCAAGTGCGCCCCTTCTTGATGGTCATGTTCTTCCTTGCTTGCATGCTCAGGGATGAAGGAAGGAATGAAATACTGAGAACTATCTTCCAGCTTGAAACACAAATCTAAATTGACAAGGATGTTTTCAAGCTGCTCTCTGCCCACACCACTCAGGCCATGTGCTTGCTCTCGCAAAAACTCTTCTATCAACCGAACAAAGACACTCTCACTCACAAATCCGTCCTTGCTTGCACCGTATGAGCACGTTCTATTAGAAAACTCTGTCTCTTGAGCTTGAAAGTTTTGACCAAGAGCTATCAGCTCACCCAGGAAGGTATTAGTAAGCCAGTTGGGATCTACAATGATGTACTTAAGGTTGGAAATGTATATGATAGATCCAACCTCATTCAAGTAGAATATGATAGACTCCATTATCTTCGAATCATCCTCAAAGTGACGAGAAGAAGAAGGAATGAATTTTTTCAAGTAGGGAGCACAAAAATCATGAAATTGATCATATGACCACAGAGGGCAACTTCTGTTCTTCTTGGTTTCTGCAACGAAGAGGGAGATGAGTTGAGAACATAATAGAGGAACTTGTGGAGATTTTTCACTCAACAACTTGTTAAAATTTTCAAGAATGTGACGGTTGAGAGGAATAATTTGTTTTTTATTCCTAGCATCCACATGAAAACACTCTTGAACAGGGAGTAGATCCACAAAATTTGCGAATCTTTGGTTGAGTTCTTCAATTATGGTCTGAGTCCAACTCACAGAGCTGTATTTGGCTTTATCTTTGTGAGAAATGACAACAAAAACTTGGGGAAGATCACGTCCCGTGATCTTAACACTGGATGTGATGAAGCTTAACCAATCCTCCAACTCGGTTTTGAAACAAGAGTCTGGTTTGTTTTTAGATGTGTTGTCACAAAAAGGGCTATACACAAAAAGAAAAACACAAAAATTGTTGGTTTGAGGAAATAGCACATCCTGAAGGGTACGAAAAATTGATTGTCCCGCAAGATCCCAAACTGAGATTTGCATTTTGTCAATAGTTTGCAAATACTCCACTTCGATGCCTTTGGTCCTCCAGAGTCGTTCAGCTACTCGGAAGCAGTCTACCCAATCAATGGATAGACTGCTTCCGAGTAGCCAGCTATGATTGATACTCATCAGGGTTTTACGCAGTTGAGTTTTTCCTGCACGATACAAAACAAAAGCATAAAATACACAACTTTTTATTAATGATGCTTTGAATTGATATTATTGAGATACAATATGACATGTTATTATTTTAACGTGAAGATAAATTGATTTAAAAATGTAAAATCACCAAAACAATTGAAGTTATATAACTAATGATTCACACATTTGATGTTTTTCTTTCCGTTACTAATTGTATACACATATCATTATATAAAGATCAAAATAGCATTTGTTGTGTGAATTTTGATTTTAGAAAAGTTAAACTATAGATTGCTAGTTGGTGTACATTGAGGAAAAAACTGAGAATGTACAGGGCCTGTTACCTGCTCTAGGAGAGCCGCATAAGAAGAGTCTACCAGCTTTTGCATCTCCAAATGTTAAGTTGGCTTCTCGGAACACAGACATGTAGACGGCCCGCTTTTGATTCTGCTTCAGGGCCTCTTCAATCTGCGCCGCCTTTCCGTCAGTTGCCCATGATGTTCGGGAGACGTCGATTTCCTGGAGAGCCAAGTTAACTTGCAGGACCCCCATCAGGTCCCTGAACGCCTTCTCGTCGAGTTCGGAGTCAGACAAATCCAAGTGAGTGAGGTTCCCTCGCATGCACCGAAGCAGGTCCTCCCATTGCTTCTTCGAAAGATCTTCTCTTCGGACAGATAATTCCAGTCTCTTCAGGACTGAAGTTTCTCCACTTTTTCCATTCATAGGGGGTATACTGAACGTGATAATCTTTCTATAATCTAGCGATGATTGAAAGAATATACTCAGAGATTTCAGAGATGTGATTTCCCCTCGCAGTACCCTACTTAATAGGTTTAATGATAACATCACTTCATCTTCACTCCCAGTAAGGATAAGGAGTTCAAGCTCCACTGTGGGGTCATTGACATCGGAGCTAGCAGAACGAGCAAGAGCTTCTATTGACTTCCATTCTTCACCACGACAACTATACCTAACAAGTATAGTTGTCGCTATGGCATTGTCACGTATGGCTTCGCCGAGCTTGTGCCATTCCTCAGGCTCCATGACAAGCTCCACTTCCTCCAATGATGGGTAGAGCTCCAATGATGGGTAGAGCTCCACTTCCTTCAATGATGGGTTGGAAATAAGAAGTTCCCTTAACCAGTCTCCGAGTCCCTTCATGTTCCTCAGCCGAAGACGTTCAATGGATCGGTTGCGATCGTCTCCGGCCAATGCTTTCAGCAACAAGCGCCGTGCCCACTTCCCCGCGTAGTCTAAGGTAAATTCTTTCAAAGCCAAGCTCTGGATCAAAGCCTGGGACAGGATTCCAACGGTCTCGTCCTCCATGTACTCCCAACGTCCGCCTAAACGTCCGCCTAAACGCAACGTTTCTAATAGAGGAGCACTATTGATCATGTCAGCCACATACTTCACCCCACTCGGGTCCATCCACGCCCCCCACTCTAAATCTAAAGACTTGAGTTTAGAATCGGAACGTCCTCGCAGACCTGAGGCGAGATTCGAGAGACATCTGGCACTCAATTTCCCACCCAGTTCTAACTCTGTTACGCTAGACGAATTCAGAATTCTCCCCAGCTGTAAACAAAAGCTCTCATTATCCGCATCATCTGAATAGAATAACCCACCACGGTTAACGGTTATCTTTTTTAGAACGGTGCTACACCTGAAACCTCTGAGAACTACCTCCCACTCGCTCGGCGTCAACATTGATATATATCCCCCACAAATATTGCCCACGTCCAGAATCTCAAAGGTGTTGCAGCTGCCGATTGCCTCCAGCACTCGACGACGCACTTGGCTTCGCCACCCTATGACTGTCGAGGGTGCTTCACTCCGCGGAAAGAACTCCCAAAATACTAGCTTGGTTAAATCGGGAAGCTCCGTTATAGGCTCGCCTTGTCCTTCCAGACGCTGTACAAGGACCTGGATGGCGTAGGGAAGCACCAATTCCTCGTGTGCGGAGTCCATTTCCCGTGTCGCCAGTTCAGCAGCGTGACTGAAGATGGACTCTCCTCCACTCTCAGAGATTAAGAAACGTTTCCTGCTTGGCATGCGCGAGCGAAATGTAACCGGGCCTACAGGAAGCACTCTCCTCGATCCGAAAGCCGGCTCTCCCGAAGAAACTTATCTTCCCGTCGTAGTGTCTGCTGGGCATGAGACTTCTGTGCACAAATAGCAAAACAAATATCACTTCGAGATCTTCCGATACAAGGATCATGAGCAATCACCACGAACGCAGGTAAATTGTGCAAAGTAAAAGCAGCAGTCTAGTTGAGCTCGGGACAAGCGATGGGAATCAAAATTAACACAGAAGACCAGGATTCTGGTTACAATCTAAATCGTGGACCGTGTGGCTAAAAAGACTTCACGTCTATCGGGAACCAATCTGGGAGAAAGAGGTTTGATGTGCACTGGTGACCGAACTGAGTGAACAAGAGATAGCCCTCTCCGTCCTCCGCTTGGGTCAAGTCAGGTCTCTTCTCTCCCTCTCTTCCTTCTTCTCCCTATCCAGAGCGAGCGCTGCCGCTGTGCGGAGTGAAAGATGCAAAGTACCTCGTGTGCCTTCTGACGCTGGCTGGGAAGAAGAAAATCAAAGATGTCGGAGCTCTTGCACGACCTCTCTTCTTCTGCTCTGCCTCTCTTTGAACGCAGCAACGTCGTCGTCGACTGGAGCGCAGCAGCGGGCAGCGACCTTGCGTCTGACGAGCGAACCAGCGAGTATCTGAAATCAAGTTCTTAGCAAAGATCGCGCGATGTGAAAGCAAAATGTCATAGAATGCATGATGTAGCAGATTTCTCAGATGTGACGAGCTCTGAGTTGTGCAAAAACAGGATGTACACTTGTACTGGGAGACTGCGAATCTAGCTACATGAAGACCAACGGGAAGACACACACTACGATGGCTAGGTTGGGAAAAACGCATGCATCCTCTTCAATCAGATCTTGTCATTGAATCGTGTGAGCGATCAAGGTGATGACAACAGTCGAACACAAATATCGTGTTCCAAAACTCTGTGATTGGAACATGGTGTTAGAATCTCAGAGTAGATCTTGACTTTGTTGTGCAAGCGGAGAGGAAACGTGGGTGAATGCCTCAGCGTGATGATATACTGGATGACGTCACATTGACAAATTAAATTACAATTTTCTTCTTTAATATTCCATTTATCTGGGATGTTTGATCTATTCGAGCAAGTGGACGTATTCTGCCAGAAGAGTAGCACATGCGTAGTCAGCTGTAATAAGGATGTTACGTTTTTTCTTACTTTTGACCCAGAACAGTAGGTTCATACAAAACTGATAAGCTTTTTGGGAATTGACTAACTATGATATCGAAGAACTGGGTACAGAGGATACTGTGTACCATTACTCGAGGTTAGTGCACAGCTCTAGTTCCAGATTCTGGTGTTCTTTAGGCCTCAAACATGAAACTGAAATCGAATTTCGTCCGTGCTACGATCACTCTTGCTTGTTTATCGTGACGTATACAAGTTGATAGAACCAGCATGAACCAGGAACTTGCTGAGCTCAACGTTAAACCTCTAAAGAAGTTACATTTTTTGAAGTTGCTTGCAAATGAAGAGAAACTGTGCAAAGTACCTCGTGTGCCTTCCGACGCTGGCTGGGAAGAAGAAAATCAAAGATGTCGGAGCTCTTGCACGGCCTCTCTTCTTCTGCTCTGCCTCTCTTTGAACGCAACAACGTCGTCGTCGATGAGCGCAGCAGCGGGCAGCGGACCTTGCGTCTGACGAGCGAACCAGCGAGTATCTGAAATCAAGTTCTTAGCAAAGACCGCGCGATGTGAAAGCAAAATGTCATAGAATGCATGATGTAGCAGATTTCTCAGATGTGACGAGCTCTGAGTTGTGCAAAAACAGGATGTACACTTGTACTGGGAGACTGCGAATCTAGCTACATGAAGACCAACGGGAAGACACACACTACGATGGCTAGCTTGGGAAAAAAGCACGCATCCTCTTCAATTCAGATCTTGTCATTGAATCGTGTGAGCGATCAAGGTGATGACAACAGTCGAACACAAATATCGTGTTCCAAAACTCTGTGATTGGAACATGGTGTTAGAATCTCAGAGTAGATCTTGACTTTGTTGTGCAAGCGGAGAGGAAACGTGGGTGAATGCCTCAGCGTGATGATATACTGGATGACGTCACATTGACAAATTAAATTACAAATTTCTTCTTTAATATTCCATTTATCCGGGATGTTTGATCTATTCGAGCAAGTGGACGTATTCTGCCAGAAGAGTAGCACATGCGTAGTCAGCTGTAATAAGGATGTTACGTTTTTTCTTACTTTTGACTCAGAACAGTAGGTTCATAAATAACTGATAAGCTTTTTGGGAATTGACTAACTATGATATCGAAGAACTGGGTACAGAGGATACTGTGTACCATTACTCGAGGTTAGTGCACAGCTCTAGTTCCAGAGTCTGGTGTTCTTTAGGCCTCAAACATGAAACTGAAATCGAATTTCGTCCGTGCTACGATCACTCTTGCTTGTTTATCGTGACGTATACAAGTTGATAGAACCAGCATGAACCAGGAACTTGCTGAGCTCAACGTTAAACCTCTAAAGAAGTTACATTTTTTGAAGTTGCTTGCAAATGAAGAGAAACTGTGCAAAGTACCTCGTGTGCCTTCCGACGCTGGCTGGGAAGAAGAAAATCAAAGATGTCGGAGCTCTTGCACGGCCTCTCTTCTTCTGCTCTGCCTCTCTTTGAACGCAACAACGTCGTCGTCGATGAGCGCAGCAGCGGGCAGCGGACCTTGCGTCTGACGAGCGAACCAGCGAGTATCTGAAATCAAGTTCTTAGCAAAGATCGCGCGATGTGAAAGCAAAATGTCATAGAATGCATGATGTAGCAGATTTCTCAGATGTGACGAGCTCTGAGTTGTGCAAAAACAGGATGTACACTTGTACTGGGAGACTGCGAATCTAGCTGCATGAAGACCAACGGGAAGACAGACACTACGATGGCTAGCTTGGGAAAAACGCATGCATCCTCTTCAATCAGATCTTGTCATTGAATCGTGTGAGCGATCAAGGTGATGACAACAGTCGAACACAAAAATCGTGTTCCTTCATAGTCTGTGATTGGAACATGGTGTTAGAATCTCAGAGTAATCTTGACTTTGTTGTGCAAGCGGAGAGGAAACGTGGGTGAATGCCTCAGTGTGATGATGTACTCAATGACGTCACATTGACAAATTCAATTACAAATTTCTTCTTGTAATAACCCACTAAAGGCTAAAACTGCAATATAGTGGTAGAAAGGTCGAACCCACAGGGACAGAGGAACACACAGGGTACAAAGTGTCACGTTTTAACAGACTATTGAGGAGTTTGAATTCTCAGGCAACTGTCACTCCCAGAAATACTGCAAGTGTCCACTCGGAGCGCACTCGGAGGTCGCACAGTGCAGCGTAACACACACACACACACACCTGAAACTACAGAAACACAACCTCGAGATCCGTTAGGACCTCTACTCAAGATTTCAGGGGGAAAGTCTCTCGCGAGCACACTCGGCAAAGCTGCGGGCAGTGACTTCCAACTCCGGCTTTTACAACGCTTCCACTAGCTTGCTGCTAGTGTAGGAAACCCGGTTTGGACTACCTACTTCGGATCGAAGTCACTCAGACGCGGTGAACAACACTCTCAACTCACAAAACGCGCAGAGAACACAGGTCCACACTAAAGGACTCACTGTGAAACATTCCAGTAACACAACAACAGTCTATTGAAGAGTTTGAATTCTCAGGCACTTGTCATTCCCAGAACTACTACAGGGGTTACCCTCAAGGCACCTGCTGCAGCGTAACCTGAATTTACAACCAAGGCTTACACGAAGTAGCAAAACTTCACTTTGGCATTCAAGGGAAAAATCCCAAGGAGTACAATCAGAAAGAAACACTCGAAGGTGTAGGGGCGAAACTGTTAAAGTATCTAACTAGTCATTGGCTCTGAGCATCGGCAGTCACCCGCAAGTGCAGATCCGAACTACTCAAGTCTCTAACCAATGTACTAGCTCTGAACATTCGGCCGCAGGCCTTCAGCTACAAAATGTAACTCCTCGTGCGTGGTGACAGAACTCAAGGACACAAACACGCAAAGGAAATGGGTTCCTGATCTATACTTCTGAGTTTGGGAAAGAACCCCAGGCAAAACGCCTGGAACTATTTTATACCTTCTAAGTCCTAACTAGCACTACACTGCACTACGCTACACGCCTGCACGGAACCACGCTACACTACACTCCGCGGAACCTGTACTACGTCTCCTGCGCGGCCGACTGCCGCGCACTAGCTCCCTACCCTGCCACTCTTCCGCTCGACTACGCAGTCCCAACCGCTGCAACGCCGCGGACACCTCCCCCTCGAGGGCGGACATGGTATCCTGTGCCTTCGACAGAAAGGCCTCGAGCTTCTTCGCTACCTTCCGCCGACTCCTACTGTCGCCTGACAACAACCCGGCTGCGCGCAATTCAAACTCACGCAGTGTGAGTTTCTCCTGCGCCTTCACTTCCCAGTGGGCGTAGCCCTTGAGACAGTGGGCGACTCGCCTCGCCGTCTCCACCTTCGTGCGATCCGCCTCCTTCCTGCGATCCTCTTCAATGGTCACTAATTGCGATTCGGCTTCAGCACGTTGCGCCCTCAATTCGCCACACTCTGACTGCAGACTGCGGATTAATTCTTCATCCGCCTGCCGTGCGAGCTGACATTGTTCCAACAACCGCGTCTGTCGCACGAGCTCCTCTGACAAAATCCGATTCTCGGCCTGCTCAGAGTTGAGTGCTTCCCTGACCTTCACCTGCTCCTTGGTGAGCTCGCCCAGTTTCTCATCCTTCATCTTCTCGGAGTGCTTGTAGAATTTCTGATTAAGCTTGTACTGTCCCCACAAGCACTCATGCTTCTCCTTCAAGTCCCTCAACTCCTGGTCCACTCTAGCTAATAGCCTGCTGGTGTGGACTTTAGTGCGAGTCCGCCTGCGCACTAACTCGATGTAAGATCCCGGCTGGAGTGGGTCGGCGTATTTATCGACCTTGCGATCCAAGTACCGCAGCAACGGAATCACCTGCTCAGAGAGCGCCGCCGCCGGCGCTCCAACAATTTCCTCCTCCTCCTCCTCGGTGTCTTCTGCTCCTGACATTTCTTCCGTGGAGCCTCCGTCGTCATCATCCGAGTGGAGAATTTCAGTCGCCATTGATTGCGTCGGCGACTGCCCCGAGTGGGGCTGCACGTCCTCGACGTGTGCTGCCTGCGAAGGCACGGCTGCAGCCTCGCTGCTCGTCGCCAAAATGTCCAAGGCGGAAGGCGAATGTATCCGAGCGGCATCCCCGTCGCTCGCTGGTTGATTGCCCACCGCATTCTCTCTGTCGCCGTCGTCCGTCGCCGAAGGCGATCGAGCGGAGGGTGGCTGCGCGGGGTTGGATTGCGCATCGCGCATCGAGATGTCGTCCCGCGGACAGTCACTCCGCTCCTCCGTCTGCTGCTCCCTCGATCGGTCCGTGGGGGCTGTGCCCGGCCCGTGCGCAGGCGCATGTGCCGGCGCCTTGTCCGCCGCAGGCGTAGCGCCGCAGACATCTATCGCCGAAGGCGACATGGCCGGGGGCCGCACGCCCGATGCTCCTTGGCCTATAGGCCCTACCGCCGAAGGCGCATCTATCGGCGGACTTCCCGCCGATGGTGCGGCCTCCGCACGCTCTCTGCTCGTATCTCCTCGGCTCGAAGGCCCTGGCGCCGAAGGCGCGAATTGCGGCGCGTGGTGCGCCGGTGGGTCTGGCCCCGAGGGCCGATGTCTCGTAGGCGGTTCTTCCGCCGGCTCCTTCCCCTTCCTACGTTGGAACGGGGGTGATTCTTGCCTGTGCACAGGCGGCACGTGCGGAGGTGTTCTGTGCACAGGTGACCTGTGCACAGGCGACCTGTGCACAGGCGAGCGCCTGTGCACAGGCGGACTGCTCCTTCCCACGCGTAAGCGTAGATCCACGTCCACTTGTGTTCGCCGGTCCGCGGAGGCTCGTCCGTCCGCGGAGGTTCGCCTGTGCGCAAACGGAACATCTGTCCGCATCGCACGTGGTAACTCCGGAGGCCCTTGGCCCGTAGGCGGCCTCTCTCCCGACGAGGTTGCAGCGTGGCCCGCTGCTCCTGCGGTCGTCCGCGCTTCCTCTCGTCTCTCTGGCGACGCACTTCCTATCTCCGTCGCAATCGTCGCCGTGTCTGCACTGTCAGCTGGCAACACCAGTCTGCGTGCCTTCTGCTTCGGCCGGCTGTATGGCTCGCACAGCGGCCGCGGTCGAATGGGAGCAGAGAGTTCTTGATGCTGCTCCTCTTCGGCCTCTTCCCTCCATCGCCGCTTCCGCGGCACTCGCGCCGCAGGGGTGTGTCTCCCTTCATCCCTCCGTCTTGATGGGGTAGAAGTCGGTGACTCCTCCGCATCAGTGTCGACCTCGTTCTCCCGCACATACTTCCCGGGATGGTCGATGGACAATGGCGGAAAATGTTCAAGCTCCGCCGCTGTCAAACAATTCCGCTGTCGATAAAAATTGATGAGGAAAGGAGAAAGATGGTTTAGCGTTCCCCCCTTCTCCTCAAACGCGTGCTGTCGCATCACTCTGTGCAGGATGCTCGCCCAGTGAATTGGAGTTCCCTCGATGACGCACTCCACAAAAGAGACCTGCCACAATGTGATGTAGCAGGCGCGGTGCGGCTGCAGTAATTGCATCAGCGCCGCGGACAAAGTCCGGCGAAATCGATCCTTGTAATCACGGGTCCTGTACCCATTCTTGGTTGACCTCCCGGTCTTGAACAGCTCCACAAATTGCGCCTCTTCTTGCTTGGTCACCTTGATGCTCTCGCTGTCGAAAAGGAGATGCCCTGGCATGCCAGCACATCTTCCCAACGCCTGCGCCCAATCTTGGACTGTCCACCGGTCGACATGCGGACGCAATCCGCGCGAGGGTGGTCCCTGTGGCTCTAGCCACTCGCGCACCATATTCGCGCAGATGTAATTCCATCCCCATAGCAAGAAATCGAGCTTTCTTGCTATTAAGCGCTCTTCGAAAGCGCGCAGCCCGTTCTGCGGCAGGCGAAGTGGCACCATCCGCAATCTGCTCGGTCTCGTCATTGCGTTCCTGGGGTTCGCTCGCCCGCTCATTCTACTTCCACACTGTCCGCGTTTCTTTCTCTCTCGGCAAACTCTAATCGCTCTCAATTCCAAATCACGCGCACTCACTTCTCCCTCAATCAACAAGAAATCTCCTGTGCGACGACGACGAGAATGGTCCGCAGCCAGCAGATGGATGCGCGCAGCGCGCACAAGAGATTGGAATCGCGAATTCAAGAATGGGACGCTCTCCGCCGCCCGGTCGAAGGTCATGGTCGTCTCTTGGTCGTGAAGAACGTCTCACTTGATGGCCGCGCCGGCTGTACGCTGGAACGGTCTTCGCTCTCACGCGCGGCTTCACGCTCCGCCGTCGTCGATTAAACTCTCACGCTCGAATTGGCGGATTTGAACTCCGCGAGCGTGTCACCCTCCGGACATGGGGGCGTAGCGCCGAAGGCGAGTTTTCCGCCTTGCGCGGTACACTTGTTCGTACCGCCCCTCGGCCAATCTCCTTCTGCCTTGACGCGTGCGTCCGCATGTCGGACAAAAATTCAACTCCTGCCTGTGCGCAGGCAGGGGCCTCGGCGGATTCTCCGCCGGCGCGGAACTTGAACATCCTCCTGTGCACAGGCGTTCGCCTGTGCGCAGGCGAACTCCGTCCGCGGCGCTGCGCTGGCGCGGAAGGCGTTGACCGTGGTCAGCCGTCTCCGTCCAGTCTGTCCGTTCCTTGTCTCTCCGTCGGCGCTTCCGCCGCCGCAACTCCGTCCGTCCAAGAGCGCATCCACCCGTGCCGTCCGCATGGTCCGTACCGATTGGATTACTCTGGCGGTCTTCCGACGTACGCTGCGCTGCGCTGGCGCGGAAGGCGCCGTACACTTTCTACCTCACAAGGCGCATTTCTAGGGCCCAAGGCGAATTTTCCGCCGTCGCCGAAGTGCCTGTGCGCAGGCGAACGCCTGTGCGTAGGCGGACTTCGCGCCTTCCCTAACCCT